TTTAATGACACAAAACTAGTAAAATACCTAGAAGAGAATTCTTTTGATGCAGTGTTTCTAGATCCTTTTGATATGTGTGGCTTAATTGTAGCCAAGTATTTTTCCCTCCCGTCTGTGGTCTTCACCAAGGTTGTATTTTGCCAACATCTTGAAGAAGCTACGCAGTGTCCCAGTCCTCCTTCTTATGTTCCTAGAATGTTCTCAGTGTTCTCGGATGCCATGACTTTCAGGGAGAGAGTGTGGAATCAAATCTTGCACTTGGAGGAACATTTACTTTGCCACTATTTCATCAAAAATGTTTTAGAATTTGCTTCTGAGCTTCTCCAAAAGACTGTCATGGCATATGATCTCTTCAGCCATACGTCCGTTTGGCTGTTACGTAGTGACTTTGTTGTGGAGTATCCCAAACCCGTAATGCCTAACATGATCTTCATCGGCGGCATCAACTGCCATCAGGGAAAGCCGCTGTCAGAGGTGAGTCACCTTTCCTTTAGCATATTAAGAACAAGCTGGCTCTGGACCTAAAAAGAGATTCCTTACCATAGTATGATTTGTCATTGAGATTCGTCACATTTGTAATTTCTTTCTAGTTGAACGAATTATTTTGCACCAATTCATTTAATTGTATTATCAAATTGTATAAAGCTGCCCTCTTCGATACGCATATGTATACAGTTGATATAATTGTATCTAATTTCCAGGCTGCATTTTCATTACTGTTTTTGGAAAAATACTGAAAAACACAGTAAGAAATGAAACTTCCCTTTTTGTTAATTCGATGCCACAGCCTCCAGGAAAATGCTCTTAGAAGTTTTGTATGCCTCTGTTCCAATTTTTCTGAAATTATTTTATATATATGCATATATCTAATGTAAATCTTCACATGCATTTTATTAAAATGAAATCTAGTAGCAGACTGGACATATTGTTCTTTAGTTTGCTTTTTTCACTTGCTAATAAATTCTGGACATCATGACAGTCACTTCATACAAATCTGTCACATTCTTTTTAAAGTTGCATAAAGAATTCTTTACTGTGGATGCACCATAGTTTATTCAATAACTAATAGTGATAGATGTTTAAGCTTTTTCCACTGTTTCCTTTTATAAGCAGGACTGTACTAGACATTCTTTTTTTTGTTCTTTTGTGAGGAAGATTGGCCCTGAGCTAACGTGTGCCAATCCTCCTCTTTTTCCTGAGGAAGACAGGCCTTGGGCTAACATCCGTGCCCATCTTCCTCTACTTTATATTGGACGCCGCCACAGCATGGCTTGACAAGCGGTGCATAGGTGGGCGCCCGGGATCCGAAGCGGCGAACCCGGGGCCGCTGCAGCGGAGCGGGAGCACTTAACCGCTTGCGCCACTGGGCCGGCCCCTGTACTGACATTCTTAAGTAATTTCTTTACACTCATACATTTCAAATGCTTGCTCTTATCTCAGTAGGCGAGAGTCCTTAGGAGGAGGGTTTCTGGATAAATGGTATGCACATATTATATTTTAATAAATTGGACGAATTGCTTTCAAAATACTGAACAGCCTGACACTTTGGTCAACAGTATATGAGAGCTTTAGTTTTTCCATCTCCTCTCCAGCTACAGATGTTGTCAAAGTTTTAAATGTTTTGGCAAAATATTCTACATAGCTGCTTCAATTTTCATTTCCTATTTCATAGATATATTGGCCATTTTCATTTCCTCTTTTGTGAATTATGTATTCACATTCTTCAATCATTTTTTATAGGGCTATCTCTTTTTAGCTAATTACTATAAGTCTCTTGAGTATTGGGAATATTAACACTTAGCTTTCTATATGTGTTGCAAATAGTTTTTCCTTGGCTATTCTTCATCTTTTGTCATTCAGGATTTTCGTTTTCGTAGTCAAACTGGTTAACTTTTTCTTTAATGGTTTCTGCACTTCAACTTGTTTAGGTCTTTCCAAGCCTGAGACATATAAATACTTTTTCCATATTATGTCAATGTTTTAATTCCTCCAATCAATAGTTTTATTTCTTACAATGAGAACTTTATATGATGTAAAGATCTAACTTTATTATCTTTCTAAAAGGATAGTCCATTGTCTCAACATCATTTAATAAAAAATCTACTGTTCATCCATAGAATTGAAATGCATCTTTATCTTATTTCAAATTTTCAAATTTATTTGCATCTGCTTTTGAACTCTAAGTTTTCTTCCACTGATTTATTTATGTATTCCTGGGCCATTACCATATTTTGATTATAGTAGTTTTGTAGTAAGTTTTAATACCTGTTCGGGCAAGCCCCATACTCGCTGTTCTTTCTTCTAAATTTTCTCAGTGATTCTCATAAGTTATTCTCCTTCACAAAACTGAATATTGTTTTATCTAGTTCCAAAAAACAAAAATAAACCATTAGGGCTGTGTTAATATTACATAAAATATTTTAGAAAGAATGACATCTTTTTGCTATTAACTTTTCCTATTCAAGATATAGTATTCTTCGTTTATTCAGATCTTGTTTTATGTCTATCAATGAAATTTTGCGTTTTACTTTATATGTCTTGTATTTTTCTTATTAAAATTTGTTCCTAGGCATTTTATTATTTTTGAAAGTCTTGTGAAGAGGACATTTTTTCATTTCTATTTTGGACTGGTTATTGGTAAAGTATAGCTTGCTTTTGTACATTTATCTTGTATCTAGCCATATTACTAATTTCTCTTATTAGTTTGTAAGATTTCTTAGGTATAAAATATCATTTACAAATTTTAAGCCCCCCACTCATAGCTCTTACTTTGCTTTATTGGAGCAAAACGTTCAAATAATTAGTTCAAAACAATTATTCAATAGTTCCTGAATAATGTTGAGTAGTCGGCCCAGGTATTTTGAAAGTGGTTTGGTCACTTGCAATTGAAAAGATCTTACAGGAGTAAGATTCCTGGCAAATCACAGTCTCTAAATGTGGACGGAACACCTGGTGGCTTATCTCAGTCTATTATTTCATTAGGGATGTACTCTGCATTTTTATCTATTGATCTGGCTGCTCACAAGCCTCAGTACACTTTATAAGAGAGTCGTATTCTCTCACTTATTGGGAGCCTGGTTTTCTCCTTTGAACTGAGGAGTGGTTAGGGATGGAGTGTACCCTCAGTGAATTAACGTTGTGTACACTTTGATTACGTAACTCATCCTACTCACAGCCTGACCAAGTCCATCTAGGACAGTATGCTCTAAGGACTCTGCTCACTTTGCCTTGCCCACAGTGGGCACCAAGATCCTCACATAATTGTGGAAGTTTCACCCAGATTAGGTACACGCAGATGTACACACACGAACTCTAAGACCATAATGATGGATTTATTTAGCATGACTGAAGGCAAGCAAATGAGAGTTCAAGTATTGTTTGGACTGTAGGATGCACAGACTTGTTAATGCATCCCATTTTTATGAGAAAAATTCTTCAGAATAAAAATAATTAAGCACTTTCCATCAGACATATGCTAAGTGAATTTAAGTGATTTTGTAGCAGAAAGCATGTTATTTTGTTTGTGTAAATTCAAGATGGTGTATCAGGGATTGGCAAACTTTTTTGTAAAGGGCTAACATTTTAGACTTTGCAGGCCATATAAGGTCTCTGTTGCGT